CCTTGCCATACAAACCCAGTACAACCATATTAGACTGCTAGATTAAATTGTAGTATTTTCTCTCTTTTTTTTTTTCTTAATAGGATGTATATATGGCTTTACAAAAATTCTCTTTTAAGACCGAACACATTGAAGAAGCAATGAAAAATACACTTTTATATGGTGGTGATCTTCACTCTGCCCTTGATTGGCTTTGTTTAAACCTTCCTGATGGTGAGTATGGTGACAGAGTTGATGACAGTTTTTAACAGAAGAGTAATAGGACCTGCTCTGTCGTGGGAATGCTTCACAGTAGTTATTTAATATATTGTTTCAGTAAGACTCATAAGCATCACGGTGTTCCTTTCCTAGATGAGATGCTGACTGGTTCTGGGATTTTTTTTTTTTTTTTTAAACTGTATAAAGTCTTGTAGACTTCTTGTTTCTACTCTGAGTTTTATGGAAGCCCAACAAGCAAATGCTGGTTTATGTGAATGCTAAATCCCAATCTTATTTCAGGCCTGCTGTTTTTGTTTTATCATAGAATCATAGAATGGTTAGGGTTGGAAGGGACCTTTAAAGATCATCTAGTTCCAACCTAGATGTTCTTCTAGTCAGCTCCCAACTGGACGCTTTAAAAGAATTTCAGTAATTGTTATTCACATATTCTGTGACATGAGTTTTTTTATTTTGAAGATTCCTTGCCTGAAGGTTTTAGCCAGCAGTTTGAAGAACAGCAACAGAAGCCTAGAGTAAAATTCTGCTCTCCTGTGTCACAACGTGAACCTCCACCTCACTTAGTAGATAACAAAAAGAAAGAGAATGGCCCTGCAACTAAGGTGATTTGAAAAATTCCTTTGTATTTACTGGGGGGAAGAGAGGACTATGTTTTTTAAAATACAGAATTTGCATGGACTTCCAACACTGCTGTGAAAAACTTGTGAAAATATGGTGTTCTTAGTAATTGCCACCCACATTATTTTAACTTCAGTGGAATGGTCATTTGAAGGTAACATTTTTTTCATATGAAGTCTAGAAGGGTCTTCATAGTTAATTTTGTGGTAAAATGTAGCATAATTTTCTCCTGGAAGTCTGTTCATCTACAGATAGCAGTCTTTGTTTGGGTTTAAATTTGCCTATGTGCTTGCAGTGTTTTGATTTTGCTTGTTACTGAATTTTAAACTAGAAATCGAAAACATTCCTTGCAGAAGTGGGATTTTTTCCTTACACAAATTATAATCCTTAAAGTGTTAGAATCTACATAATTATATAGTGAGATGTTTACCCGTGTTTGGCCCTTTTTCTTTTTGTGTTATGTCATATAACTTAGTTTGTATAAACTATCTTAAACAATAGTTTGTAAATACTGACATAGAAAAGCATTGATGTTTTCACTTACTGTTATCATTACTTTTAACTTTTGTTACTCTTCCTAGGAGATGAGTGTGGGGAAAGAGAAAGAAGTAAGTATGAAGGAATGGATTTTGCGATATGCCGAGCAACAGAGTGATGAAGAGAAGAATGAGTCTGTGAAAGAGACAGATGAAGAAAACTTTGACCCAGTAAGATAGAAAAAGGCTTTATGGAAGCTTTAAAAAAAAAAACCCCACAGATATGTCTGTACATCTGCAAGTGGTGGATCTAATTGTTATAAACTGGGGTTTGAATACTTTTTTTTTTACATTATCTATTTTTACATTTGCAGGCTACTGAAGGGGGAATATCTTGAAGCTTCTCCTTTCCTTAATTGGTTTTTTTTTTTTCCTTGTACTGGGCTAAAAACACTGAATGCCTTGTGTTAGAAAGGAAAGATTATTGAAACACATCTCGGTGAGATTAGGAAAGTGACTATGAAGTTTTGAGGGGTTTTGACTGTTAGTTACGTAAAAACTAATTGTCCTTCCTTTGTGTCAGCCTTGTGGTTTAACCCCAGTCAGCAACCAGGTAACACACTGCCGCTCACTTGCCTTCCCCCCCTCTCATCTCCTCCACTGTAGGAGTAGAATGGGAGGAAAAGGCAAACTCAGTATAAGGCCAAGCTTGGCTTAAAGGCCAAAAAAAACTCACTTTTTTTATTATGAAGTTCATTAATAGTGACAAGCATACAATATTCAGCTTGTAATTAATAATTCTCTTCGAAATAGAATGAGAGGTACGTCCAACTGGCTGCCAAGCTTTTAGAAGCAAAAGAACAAGCAAGCGTCTCCAAGCAAGACAAAGACAAGCAAGGCCAGAAGGTAGCACAGGAGAAAATAAGAAGAACTCAACAAGGTAGAGCTATGCAAGTTACCTGTGTTTTATTCTGTGGCCTGCGTATTTGTTAGGCAAGTAAATCTGAGTGAGGTGGAATGGATTTCATAACCTTTTATGCCACTGTGTGAATTGCAGGCTTTCCTCAATCTGTCCTTTTCCAAAGGGTCAGTAACATTCCACTACTTCTGGCTTTGGGTGATAAGTATGAATTAACATGATTGATCTTTCCTTTTTTAAAAAGAAATGCTCAGTAACTGATGGGTGTAAGTTGTATTCTCTCTCTGACAGAAATGGCAATGCTTGAAGAACATCCAGTATTTAATCCAGCTATAAAGATTTCGAACCAACGACAAAATGAAAAGAAAAAAAACCCCTCACCTCAGCCTCAAGAAACCACTCTGAACCTGAGCTTGCTTGAAAAGCCTGATGGTGCTGCAAAGGAAGACAAAGGTCTGTTGGAAATGGTTCAGTACAAGCCACAAACTTCTAGTGTTAGTTCTTGGTTTTCTAGGTTGTGTTGCATTGCAGTGCTGAGTCATCAAGCTCTGATTGTGGGAAAGGCACCTAGACTACCTCAGTGACAAAGCTGACTTTAAAAGATCAGTATTTATCTTAGCAAATAGTGTTGAAAGCTGGTTTTGCCTTACTGTCGTATCTAAAATTTTCTTTCTTTTTTTCTGTTTAACTGTAGGGCTACTTACTGTTTCTGTTGTCACCCTCTCCCCTTTTTAAACTAACTTCATTGTAAAACTTCAGACTGTTGTTACAGGATTTTCTAATAATGAAACTTTCAATAAAGTTCTTAAATTATTGGGTAATCAGAGATGGCAAACAAAATATTGTAATTACTTTCCTGCTAGATACTTTTGTGGGAGAAGCAGGGATTTGTCATGTACCAGTACCAAAATTTCTACAAAAAACTTCAGAAAATAGTGTTATCTAGTATAAATACCTTAAAAAAAGGTTAAAAACCTTCTTGGTTATCGAAGGATGCATTCTAGGAGACTTACCATGTGTCTTTTTGCTCTTGTAGTGAAAAAGAAAGAACCTCTGGATATAAGAAATTTTGATTATAGTGCTCGAAGCTGGACTGGTAAATCTCCGAAACAATTTTTGATTGACTGGTGCAGGAAGAATTTTCCCAAGAGCCCAAATCCTGCTTTTGAGAAGGTTCCAGTTGGGAAATATTGGAAATGTAGGTATGTATTTCCTTGTAAACTTTACATCTTTCTTTTGGTTCACTTATAAATAAAAATGCTGGCTTATTCTGTCTTGTCATGTTCATCCAAATTTATATGAATATAGTGTGTTTAACCTAAACATGCTTTTTTGAGTGCACCAGGAAGGTATTTCACTCTGGATAGATCTGCAAAAGTAATGAGTAAACTGGACACTATTATAAAAAGCATTCTAGTGAATGATCCTGTAAAGAAGGGATTAGTTTTTCATTCTGTAGCACTGCCCGAAAGGTTCTGAAGTGAAACTGTGAGATAAATTTTGACAATTAACTTCTGGTATTCTCATTCAATGTAGTATATTAAATAATAGGTCTTAAGCCCATGAATACCTAAAACTCTTTGGGGATTGTTTAAAATAATGTGGAAGTTAAAAAATTTGTCTGAAAGCTACTGTAATTTTGTAACTGACACTGCACTATTTTGGTTATTTATTCATTTATTTTGTTTTAGAAAACAAGTTTATAATATAATGATGCAAAGTAGTACATTATCATGTACAAATAAGTAGACATGGCAGTACAAATGAGTAATGCTTCTTGGCAGATACTTTTACTTTGTTCTTTTGTCTTGCTCAAGTTAAGTTAGCAATACACTATTCTTCTAAGAACATGAAAAATCTGCCTGCTGGTATGACTGGCGTGTGTCTCTTAAGCAGATGTTTGCATCTCAGTAGCTCATTAACTGTCATCTGGATCTATGCTAAGTAGTTACAAGCACACAAATACATGTGTAGTCCTTTCTTGCAAAGCAACCAACCTTTAGCGGTGATCTGTGTGCGTATAAATAGTTCTTTGAAAAAAAATGAAAACATTTGTTAATAGGTGAAATCACAAGTTCACTGCTGGAATCTGCTGCTGAAAATTTTCTGCTATTGAATGAGACTTTATCAGCTATTTACAAAAATATTGAGTAACATTGTTATTTAGCTTAGTTTCTCCTTTTTAAAACGTAGGAGTGAAATTCAATAAATGTTATCAGGTGTGTTGTTTATATCAACAATATAATGCCTGTATGAATTTTTCTTTAAGGGTCAGGATTACTAAATCGTCAGATGATATAATGACCATGTGTCCGACAATCGTAACAGAAGATAGTATGCAAGCACAACACCTAGCTGCTACTCTGGCACTCTATCATTTAACCAAAGGACAAGTAAGATTTTCACCAATAATACTGCTTCTGCACTTTTTGTTAAAATATCTGTAGCTAAATTCTAAAAACACTTTAATCAACTGTTTCTCATTAAATTCTTTGCTTGTTTATATGTTCATTTGCTTTTTATCCGCAGTCATGCATGCATGTTAAAGCATACAGGGAGGGAATGTTTGATAGTAAAACTGCTCCTTTCAGCATTGTAAAGAATGCAAGCCAGCTGAAAATGAAAAGTGTTTATTGTTGATATTTATAGTACAGTTTTCATAGTTTCTGTATTTTGAAATACCTCCCTATTTCATGTTTCGTTGTATCTTTTGCCACTCAAGTTCATTCGCACTTAAAATGTTAGTGATGCTACTAAGTAGTACATAAAGTAATTTTTTTTTTCTCTGTTTTTTTTTCCACCTAAAGTCAGTTCATCAGTTACTACCTCCTACCTACCGAGATGTTTGGCTAGAATGGAGGGATATCGAAAAGAAAAAGGAAGAAGAAAACAAGATAGAAACAAATAAGCCTCGCGATAACTTCATTGCTAAACTATTAAACAAACTCAAACAACAGCAACAGCTACAATCTGAAACCCAACCAAAAGTATCAGAGGGTCCTGAAGATTCCTGGGAAAACTTAGTTTCTGATGAGGACTTCAGTAGTCTCTCCATTGAGGCCTCATATACAGATAATTTGGAACCTTCAAGGATTTTATTTAAAAAACTGCAAAGTTCCTCCCGATACCAGAGGCTTCTGAAGGAGAGACAGGAGTTACCCGTGTTTAAGCACAGATACTCGATTGTGGAAACTCTTAAAAAACATCGAGTAGTGGTTGTGGCTGGTGAAACAGGCAGCGGGAAGAGTACCCAGGTGCCCCATTTCTTGTTAGAAGATTTGTTGCTAGATGAAGGATCAACTAAATGTAATATTGTTTGCACACAACCCCGAAGAATCTCAGCAGTGAGTCTGGCGACCAGGGTTTGTGAAGAGCTAGGCTGCGAAGCAGGACCAGGAGGAAAAGTATGATGTGTCTCAATACCTTTATCTCGTCTTGATCAAATACAGGGGGCTGGATTGTTGTTACAGAGTGAAAACATTATTTCTTGCACAACCACATAATTAGATGTTTCTCTTGAAAAGGGCTTCTTGCTGTGTAAGCTGGGTTTTTTTCCAAATTTTCACCTGTGGACCTTTGAGTGTCCATATGTTCATGATGATTAAGAGCAATAGTGTTTTATAATGGGGATGGATAAACATTGTAGCAGATAGCCCAGAGTCTCCAGCTTCCCTATCATTAGGGATGGAGAAAACTCTCATAAATAAGGCCCTGCTTTGAGAGGGGCCCCTTCCAACATAAGTTATTTTGTTATTTGAAGAAAACCAAGGTCCAGTGTGTTTTATGGTAGTCTGTTCGTGCAAAATTTGTTTTCCTTTGAGCACTGTGAAGAACAGAGTTTACCAGCTCTTTGCTGCTCTGGAGAAACTTTGTTGTAGATTTCAGTGTATTTTCCCTTTTGTAATAAAGGAAAGTGCATGTTAAAAAACAGTGTGGTAGTCATTCACTGTACTGTTTAATTGGCAACTTGTGCAGTGTCTGAATCTAACAGTGCTGAAGTTTTACTTAATTTTGAATATCTCTCTCTTGTATACTATTTTAAGTTCTTTCTATATTTTTAATATTTTTAAGAATTCCTTGTGCGGATATCAAATTCGTATGGAATCAAGAACAGGAGAAGCCACCAGACTACTGTACTGTACAACAGGTGTCTTGCTTCGGAAACTTCAGGAAGACGGTCTTCTTTCAAGTATATCTCATGTTATTGTAGATGAGGTCATCAGCTCTTACTCTTTTGCAGAAATTACAGTTATTCCAGGCCTTGACTTGTACTAAATCCTTACTGTAGTGGTTCTTGTAATTCTAGGTGCATGAAAGAAGTGTCCAGTCTGATTTCTTGCTAGTTATTCTGAAGGAAATCTTGCATAAGCGTTCAGATCTGCATCTGATCTTAATGAGTGCTACTGTAGACAGTGAGAAGTTTTCCAGTTATTTCTCACACTGTCCCATTTTAAGGATCTCTGGGAGGAGTTACCCTGTTGAGGTAGGTAAATATTTCTTTGATTATGCAAGGCACTCGGTGTGCATGTCAGTGTTTTCCTGGTTAGTGTCTGTGCGAAATACACCTATTTCACTTTTTTTTTTTCCCAAAAACGTGTCTTAAAACGTGTTTTTAAAACGTGTCTTAAAACATGTGTTTTCCCTTTTTGAAAATACAGAATAGCTGTATGCTATGCATACAAAATACAGATGATACAGAATATCTGTGCTTTGAAGTACAAGGTGGTGCAGGTTTTTGATAGATCTTATTATTGATTAAAATCAGTCCATCAGTGACGCTTTTTCTGTATTCAGCCTAGATAGAAAGGAAAGCATTAAAGAATTCCCCCCCACCCCCCATGCAACTTTGTCATTACACTCTTATGTATGTATGTTTGGGAACTACGGGCCAGTCAGTGTCACCTCTGTGCCTGGCAAGCTCATGGAGCAGATCCTCTTGCAAACTGTGGTAAGGCACATGGAAAAGGAGGAGGTGATTGGTGACAGCCAACACGGCTTCACCAAGGGCAGAAGACGCCTGACAGATATGGTGGCTGCCTACAGTGGGGTCACAGCTTTGGTGGATAAAGCACAGGCAACCGATGTTGGAAGTTTTAAGATGTCATACATTAAAAGAGAAGGACATGCCCCGTTCAGCTTTGTATGTAAGCTTTAAAAATGGATGGGGCAAGTTGACCCTGGCTGGAGGCCAGGTGCATGCCAAAGCCGCTGTATCCTCTGCTGCCCTCCCCTCAGGTCGACAGGGAGGAGGAAATGCAATGAAAGGCTTATGTGTCAGGATAAGGACAGGGAGAGGTCATTCACCAATTACTGTCATGGGCAAGCCAGACGCAGCTTGGGAAAGATTGCTTTAATCAAATTGGAATAGGAAAACTAAATCTTATAACCCCACCCACCCCTCCCTTCTTCCCAGGTTCAGCTTTGCTCCCTATTTCTTCTCCCTCCTTCCCCCAGCAGCACAGGGTGACAGGGAATGGGGGTTGTGGTCAGTCCATCATACCTTGTCTCTGCTGCTCCTTCCTCCTCAGGGGAGGATGCTCACATTCTGCCCCTGCTCCAGCGTGGAGTACCTCCCACAGGAGCCTGTCTTCCACCAACTTCTCCAGCATGGGTCCCTCCTCTAGGCTGCAGTTCATGAAGAACTGCTTCAGTGTGGGTCCCCCATGGAGTCACAAGTCCTGCCAGCAAATGTATTCCAGTGTCTGCACATTACTCTCACATCTTGTTCTCTCCTTGCTGGAAAATCTACTCTCTTTTAGTTTTTCTTTCCTGCCTTCTTAAACATGGTATCACAGAGGCATTGTAACTGCGATTGGCTCTGCCTTGGCCAATGGCGGGTCCCTTTTGGAGCCGGCTGGCATTGGCCCGATCTGACACAGGAGAAGTTTCTAGCAGCTTTTCACAGAAGCCACCCCTGTAGCCTCTCCACTACCAAAACCTTGCCACACAAACGCAATACAAATGAAAAAGTTGCTGATTACTTTTTGACATATTTCTTCTATAATTTTTTATTTTTATTAAAGATTTTCCATGTTGAAGATGTAATTGAAGCAACTGGCTATGTTCTGGAGAAGGACTCAGAATATTGTCAGAAGTTCTTGGAGGAGGAGGAAGAAGTAACAATAAATGTTACTAGCAAAGGAGGAGGCACTACAAAGTATCAGGTAAAATAGGCATTTCTAGTTTAGGCTTGGAAATTTATTGGTTTTTCACTTGTTTTATCATTTTTGTTACTCATTAAATGAGATTGGATTGCATAAATATCAAATATTCTTTCTATTGATAAAAGGCAGAGACAATGTACTCCTGCCTTGCAAACCTAATACTTATTAATGTTGCACCCTTATGTGTGTCTCCCCAACTCTTTTATGGCTGCCTTGATTTTACTGTATTTGACACTGACTTTTCTCTTGTACAGATTCTCAGCTTTACATCTGTAAGTAGCAGCATGAGAAAGCACTTAAGATATTTTTGTGGAGAAAAACTTAAGTAGTGAATCTAAGAACAGAAGAGGCAAGGCCATATCTATCTTAGCTGGAAAAACTCCCAAGGTCCTCCAACCTGGCATGCCAAATGAGATGATTTACATGAGATTATTGTGTAGAGCCGTTTCGCTTAATAGGCTGTTAATCCTGTTGGTACTCTGTAGTGACAGCTGTATGTGCTTTTGGGTCCAAATTTTTGAAGGGAAGAGTATATAAGTGCCATCTAACTTAAGGTAATTTATATGCAGTCTAGATGAGTAGCCTATTTTTACAGGTTTCACAGAGTGGTAGGGGTTGGA